CTGACGACACCACTCAAATAGTAACACGTGAATTATCATCTTCATCGAAGACTTCCTTTGATTCTGCAGAAGAATATGAAAAATAACTCGACGAGAAAGACAAAATAAAACGTCCTCGCTTGAGTTCTAATATGAGCAAAGACAGAAAAGCACATTACAAAATTACAGAATTTAAAGATAAATTACAAAATTTAAAGATAAATTTTACAATGCACTGGAAAAAGTAAATCACTCAATGTTGTACCCAATATACTCGTATATTATGTACAACATTTTTATTAATTAAACTATTGAATACTTTGTGTACGAATGTAATTACTGTTTTTATTTATACATGCTTACTAAATACCATCGCCATCAAGACAATAAATATCAATTTATGTATTAAGTAGATGTTTTAATGTTTAACTAATTTTTAAAATCGTTTTATTTCGTATTTTTTAAAAAAGTAATCAGAATCGTCGTCATTATTACTTTCCTGTTATACGTTATCCTGTTATACATTATAGGCTTATAACAAAGGAAAAGAATGACGATCAGTCAAAAAACGACTTTGCCAGATTTTTATTCTTTTGTACTGGGGAAGCCTCGAAATGTAGAGAAGTGCAAAAAAATTAGGTTTCTTTTCTGTATGCACGGATGGTAGAATGTGTGTGGGGGCACGATTTAGTTCAACCATTTTGAAGCTTAATTAATAACTCCTGTGTTAAACCATTTTACTCCGATTGAAAAACCACAAAAGTTATTAAGCTTCAAACAGGGTGAACAAAATTATGCCCCACATATACAGTCTAACATTCGATGGACATAATCATGCCGCCTGCTTCTGGTGGTAAAACGAAGGTACCGTCAGTGTAGTTCTACCCTGAAAGCGCCTTCGGTTTACCCTAGATTACCCTAAATTGAGAGCTCGAGCTCAAGCTCGAAAAATCTCTCCTGGTCTTTAAATAATCGTAAAATATATCCACAATGCCATTATTTAAACTTAATTTTAATTAATTCATTTTCAACATGTGTATCTTAGCTGAAAATAGAAAATTAAATAAGCCATTCACTTGATTTCAAACATACTTTAATACGTAAATAATCAGTTTTAAAAATTTATTTATTTACATAGCCTATACATTTGCGTTTTAACATTCGTGTTGAATGTTCAAATGAAACCACCAATCTGTTTTATTTCTTTAGCTTGTATTGTCCTATCCTAAAATCCTCCAGTTATAGAGGAAAACAGAACGGTTTTAGGCTAAAACTTTTTCCGGCGAAACTTGTGCGAGATATGTAATAACATCAGATCATATAGCAGTTTTACCCTAAATATAAGACTACCCTAAACATTACCCTGAGAGGTTGAAATTACCCTAGAAACGGTAGCACTGAACATAACACTAGGTAACAAAAGTGAAGTCATTACACATGCACGTGTAAATCGGACAGAACCTCAAAAGTCCTAACATAAGCACTTTACCATTACCGTGAATCGTGCTAAAAAAACCCGAATCTTTCGCACATCTCACATTTTAAAGTGTACCGAGTCCAAAAATCTAAAAATGTGGCGGTCATTTGTCGATCGATTATCTATATCTATATGTATATCTATATCGTCAAGTTAGCCAATTAATGATGAACAATTAATTAGGATTGTATTATTGTATAATTGTTTAAAAAAATACCTGACAATGATTTTAGTTGAACTTTTTTAGTTTTTATAAAGCCTTTTTTAGTTCTAGTATATATATATATAAATGGACATGTACGTCCCTATATTTCACTTTTCCGCCAAAACTACACATCGCACGTGAATGGTGTTTGTATGTGGTAGTAGCACCAAGTCTCCATTCGTGCACCAGGGGGTTGCGTCTCGATAGCTATAAGGGTGTGGGAAATATGAGGCTAAAAGTGGTTGAAAGTGGCTTTGCTCACCTCGACCTTTGCTTAGTAGAAATGGCTAAAAAGTGCGCAAAATACGTACGGAAATACGGTATTACAGCACCACCTGTATTGGACGACCACCTGTCTAAAAGACCACTTATTGAAGGAACCGTGGGTGGTCGCCATAGACAGGTTTTACTGTATATACAGAAGAAATTAATTCATTTTGCACTCTGTCCTGTTCAATCATCAGGAACAAAAAAAAAATGTCTTCCTTCGCAGAGACGACTTTTATTAGATGCTAAGCTTCTGCAAAATTATATAAAACGGTTAAAGTGTTCACTGATAAGCCGATAATGTTTTAAAAAAAATACGTAATTTCAGAGGGAAGGCCTCCAATAAAAGGACAGGACGGGTTGTTGTTGATAATTTAGCTTATTCTGTAGTCGGATTGGAGGTCCGACTATTTAATTTTATAAATATTTGTGTGAATCTTTTTATAATAAAATTGAATAATTAAAATTAATAATCGTATAGGATGTAACTAGAAAAATACATGGTTTATTCTACAAAAGCTCATATTTTAATTCAGCTGTGTCAATTAATTCTATTATGTCAATATAGATTTCTAATTTAGCTTTTGCGTTGGTATGTAAACACATTGAGAAAATATTTCCGCAAATTCATATTTGTGTGGCTATTATAAAAAATATGAGTTTTAAATCTATTTAAATTTATTAAAAGAATTTTTTATGTATTATTTTATACAGGGCTACGGAGTCGTGTAAAAATCTAACGACTAGGTGTGGTCTTATTACCAAAATAAGTCCGATAATTCTAATGTCATCACGTGACCTCACGCCTTTAATAAATAAAGTTCTAATAAAGATAGAATGTAAAAAACGGTTTTTATTCCAAAGCTAAAAGATTCTAAGTAATGACATAGTCAATATGTAAATACTGTATGTATTCGATAATTTTTACTTTCCCGGCTTTTATATAGGCTACTAGCTGTTACCCGCGACTTCGCCCGCGGTGGTTTTGCAAGCAAACCCCATTTATATTCAGTATTTCAACAACCATAGTAATTGTTATATAACACCTACCGCCGAGAATGATGAGAATTGCTGAGAATCAAACGAACTATTTTCAATTTGATCACTTTTCTGGAACGTTTACAATCGTTCTATAATCGAACCAATACGCAATAACAAATTCGAATTTAAAAAGGCTCGAACATTTTTAAAATCGAAATAGATAAAAATATTTATAACAATGTCTGAAATGTTATTAATTTAATACACCTAAGTACTCGATGAAGACTAAATGTAGTTGAAAACAAAAAATCGTATCTAAAATAGTACAGTAGAAGCCGTTTTTCCGGTTAAGCCTTAATGCTCTACCTCTCCCGGAAGTCTTTTCATTCAAAGATTTTTTTCCAACACATAAAAAACCTTTTTTATATCCCAGTACGAACAGATTTAGACAAAACGAACGTTTTCGACCATAAACTTGGTCTTCATTAGGCTATTGACCAATAGCGTGATCAATAACTGGTCAATAGCCTGATGAAGACCAAGTTTATGGTCGAAAACGTTCGTTTTGTCTAAATCTGTTCGTACTGGGATATAAAAAAGGTTTTTTGTGTGTGCGAGAAGTTGTTTGATTTATTTTCCGTTTAGGCAGGTTTTTGCTTTATAGAAGGTCCGCATTACACTGGTTTTATTATATAAACAGACATGCTACACTTATAAAAACGCAAAAATGGTATATAAAAGAGCACCCAACATCTACAGCTTACTAAGGAATGATAGAGACAGAGTAAAAATGCAAAAGAAAGCTGGAGTTTATAAATTACCATTTGAAAATCAACAATTAGGAGTAGCAAAGGATTACGTGGGTGTAACCAGAAAAAACTTAGCAATACATCTGTGAGAACACAGGTACAACGTTAATGATAACACCATTTTAGCAATCATGGCGCAAACGGTAGGAGCGAATGTAAAATGGGATAACTCAAAATTCATTAAAACGGTCCAATTTCCAACCATTGCATTAGAAATGGAAAAGATGGAAATATATAAAATTAAAATAAAAAACCGTTGCCTAAATGCCAAGGATGCTAATGCGCTTTCAATAGCATGGAAGTACAGTACATGATAGGAAAAAGCATGAGGATTAAAAACCCTTAAAACTTGTAATAGTTATACTTAGCCTTGTATAGGGTAGTTATTTATTTATTTATGCTATTTTATTTTATTTTTACTGTTATTTGTTTATTGTATTTATTTATTTTTCATATACACAGTTGTTCTAAATCTTTAAATTTAAAACGAAACTTATTCGAAAAACGTTTCGTTCCATTTTGGAACGGTAATCGTAGACCTGAGGATGGCCTATAATAAATAGATTTAAAACATTTGTGAAATAAAATAATTTAATGCTCGGCCAAAATTCAGGTGTGTTAATATAATTATTAGTACTTCAGTTATTCCCACGGACAGCTTAACAAATAAATTCTCTCATTGGTTAAATCTATGGATGAATTTGTTTACGGAATGAAATAATTTAATCGCGAATCTCCAATAAATGGGATTTTCGTAGATAAAACAAACAGAGGAACGTGGATTTATAAAATTTTAAAGCGTATAAATATTTCTATCGATGAAGGATCAGAAGCTATCTTCGTTCAACATGAAGAAATTCGTACTTTGTCTGTGTTTGATTGTGTTGATTGATCTCTTGAGTAAGTAGGTCTACTTTATGTTTCGTTTAGTTTAGAATAATTTTTTCTTTGGATTATAAACATATTGATTAAACTGAAGAATTCAATTACTGTAAATTTTTTAAGTAGGATTTTGTATTGCTATTTAGAAAATGAGAATTTTTAAGACATTCGCTACAATATATAAAATTATACCTAAGGCTAATATTATTAATTTTTCAGTTACTCAAGTAGACGGAGAGGAAAATACTGGTGTAGCTGGTTCCGGTGAAGATGGATCTAGCAGCAAAGGTAAATCTAGAGGCGGTGGACGTGGCGGAAAAGGTGGAAAAAGCGGCGGAGGCGGTGGACGTGGCGGAAAAGGTGGAAAAAGCGGCGGAGGCGGTGGACGTGGCGGAAAAGGTGGAAAAAGCGGCGGAGGCGGTGGACGTAGAGGCGGTGGCGGCGGTACAGGTGGATACGTTGGCGGTGGAAGTGAAGGTGACAGCGAGGTGCGTTTATTTTTTGTCCCTCCGCGTTACACCGCACGAGCGACATTCCTTTAAAAATTACTGCAGAACGCGTTCGTTTATTCCGGCGGAGTGCGCGCCTTCCGATGGCAAAAACGGCCACTCGTAGTAGTAGTTTACTGTGGAAAGCAACATGGCGTCTTCCGTGGCTCGGAAACTTTGTTTCGAAGTCCAGTAGGTGATTTTCTGAATGCAAATTTAGAAGTTGTGAAAGCTCAAGTTAGTGCGCGTGGGGATGTGTCTTTATGAATTTCCTTCGAATGTTAGCCAGCATTCTTATTTCTTTTCGTGGTTACTTTGAATGCTCTGTCGGCAAGATAATCGATTTTATGGATTAATTTTAAAATTGGGACCTTCGTTTTGTCTGTAAAACAGCATACTTTAAATCGTAAATCTCTCATTACGATACTATTGAGGGTAATGGAGGGCCGCACGTGTGTTCAACGTAACATGGCCGTCCCATTCCCCCATCTGTTTCAATCATCACTAAGACTACACTTAACGGAATGCGGTAAACAAAATTTTGTTATGTCCACGACTACACTTTAAACAGTAACAATATTTATTCACAAAACAAATCGTACGATTGCATTTAAGAGCTACACGTGCTCTTGCAGCAATCGCCCGTCAAGAAGAAACTCAATCCCAGAATCCCTGCGGGAAAAACTCTCGTACCCGTTTTTGAGTACGAGACTCTCGGGGAACTCACTACAGGTGTGGCGCCATCTCACGAGTCCGTGATAAACTACTGGTCGCCGCATTATTAATAGTACGGGCGTCGCCATCTTTCTTTCACTCGTTCTTAAAATGCCTACAAATAGCAACGCACTCCCATAGTAGCAGACACGCAGAGCGAACGCTATTTACGAACGTGGACGTGGTAGTGGTGGTGGGGATAGCGGTGGTGGACGTGGAGGAGAAAAAACGTACAGTACAATACAGGAAGAAATGAAAAATTCGCCTCTGGATCAGTGGTTATTTTATTAAGTATTTTTATTATTATAAATTTAGATTTATAATCTGTGATTAAAATAGGGCAAATAATATACCGATTGTTCTTAGTTAAAGAAAGCCTACACCTATACAATGCTGTCTAAAGGCAGTGTAATGCGATCAAATTTGGTTGTGTGACATTTCAAGGCATGTACTATACTAGGCAAAATACGTTTCCATAAAAATGTAATATTAAAACTCTCCATCATGGGACTTTTGGCGCTGAAAACAACAAAAAGATAATTTTATTTGTGAAGACAAATTTTTTTTTTAAAGTGTGGGGGCCATTTAAAAAGTATGGTTTATCAAGGATTTGTTCTACATTTGTCAGCGTTAAAAATACGTATGACACTGCATGTGAGAAATATCACAGAGGATCTATTATGATCGGCCGTTGAACACTATACATCGTACTATATACTAGTTCTTACTTAGTATTCGGCCGCAGAGCTCAATAATGCGGAATGCTAAGAAATCTAATTAGGTAGAAGATCAGAGCTAAGAAGTATTTCCAGCAGTGGCGTAGCGTAGTAGGGGCGGCAGAGGTGGCCCGCCCCGGGCGGGCCGCCCCTACTACGCTATATTATTATTATTTATTGTCAAAATTTGACAATAAATAATAATAATATCTTGTAAAAATTTGAACCATTTCATTTCATATTTTTGTCGCACCTACGATTCGGACTGATTGAAATGAACACGGAATTTTTCATTACTTATTATGTGACGAAACTGAATTTTAGTTTTTTAAATTGAGATATCTAAATAAGGGGGAGGCGAAATTTTTCTCCGCCCCGGGCGGCTGACACCCACGCTACGCCACTGATTTCCAGTATCCTTGTAGGCTGTGCTGAGTTATCAAGTTACAGATTCTGTGTAAAAATGGTAAAAGACATCATCATAAGTTTATGATAAAATAAACTCGAAATATGTCGAATATATTACAATCCTTGATAATTAGTTATCATTAGTTACGTATTAAATAGTTGTATATTTTATATTAAACTTAAATTTACTGGGATAAGGAAAAGGAATTTTCATTTATTTAATTTTCAATTTATTTTTATAATTGCAAAATATTTTAATGTTAGTTTAAATAATTCAATTATGATTCTTTTATAATAAATTATCACTTTAATTACAGAAAAGTGAAGAATAAAATACTGAAGAAGAAACGTATGCATCCTTTCCTTCCTATCTTTTATTAAGTTTGTTTTTATTATTTATAATATCAATATGTTAATATTCGCAATTTTTTTTATTATTGCATATTTAAATATCCGTAGAAAATACTTGCACCGTAATACAAAGTATATGGGTACTTTCAGTCAGCAAGCAATTTGCTAACTTGAATTGAGCTAAGTTTCATCATGGTTTCGCTTGTCAACAGGATGGTCGTCATTGTTTAATAAAATGGCTGACAAGAAACAAAAATTAATATCGACAGTCGTCAGACAGATCGTTTGAAGTATCCTCACACATTTTATACAACTTTAACTTATTCCAGGGCACAACTAATCCACGGTAGCTTGTGTTTAATTCAGCTGAAACAACGAAAGTACGTCCCACTGATTATTTCCGGTTACAAAATATTTTATAATTATTGTAACCGGAAATAATCAGTGGTTCGTACCTTCGTTGTTTCAGCTGAATTAAACACAAGCTACAATTTTATAATTAACTAATAATTATAAAATATTTTGTAATTATTGTACAGTACATCTAAGGTTCATTGTAATATTGACGATAGTTACCATAGTTTGTGTTTTCTTGTTGTTGTAGATTGCTATCATTATATGCAGACGTGCCCGTACATTGGGGTAAGTGTCCTCCTTTGTTGTGGTACTCTTTTCTTAATCTCCAAGGAACTCTGAGGTCTCATTTTGTTTTAAAATTAGTTAATCATTTTTATCACGGAAAACGTTTTACTGATGAAAAAATAAAAATATTTGTTAATAACCGAAACTTTATTCTACTGGGGTCGTGATTGTTCGGTCGAGTATCGATGTACTATTACTCTATCTGATTAATGCGATTTTGATATACGTATTAGCACTGTGGGATAATTAACTGCGTTAATCAAGGAATATCTGTATATACGAGTATATACGTACGATGCCTTTTTTATAGTTTGCGGGACGCTACTGAGTGTATGTAATTCAATTGAAAACGACCAGTAAGACCGAAATGCATTTCGGTAAGAGTTAATTAAATATGCTGAGAGTATAATAAGCTTGGTTTATTAGTTCTAGTTAACTACGTTTATGTAAAACTTATTTACATTGTGTAACTTAGGGGAGATCGGGGCAAGATCGGCATGTTAAGCTTTACTTAAATTTTGTGTAATAAATACTGCTGTAAACTGAAAAAAAACTTTGCATATTGTCTTTTGGAATGTTACCTTACTATAGAACTGGTTAAAATCAGTTTGGAAATAAAAATAATTAAAATAATTACAACTTTACAAGAAGAGAGAAATTGACGAAGTTGCCCCGGGTATAGGGGCAAGATCGGCAACATCTCTCTTTTTGTAAAGTTGTAATTATTTTAATTATTTTTATTAAAGTTGCCCCTGGTATAGGGGCAACAGTAATGGGGCAAGATAGGCACGTATATAAAATTATGTTATTAACAATGTATAAGTTGGAATTCGCTATTAAAACAAAGAAATACAAATCCAACACCCATTTAATATTATTACAACGAAATGCAAGTTCAAAGACATATATACATGAATAACAAATGGAAACATGTTTTCATTTATCATCTGTTTGATTTTTATCCTTTGCTTCTAATGTGGCTTTATGTTGCCGATCTTACCCCGCTAGTCATGATTTCGAAACATTAAGTACAACCCTGAGAACAGAATGCCAAGCCACGATCTGGCCACGTGAATAAGTTGAAGTTACATCCTTCTAACAGGAAAAGTAACTTTCGTTATCATGGAATTATAACAAAACCTGCCAATTCAATATAAATGGAAAAAAAATATTATATGGAATTGAACGAAAATGAAAATTTGCTTGATAATTCAACTACGCTTGTTGGAGAACAATAAAAACACTACACTCAACAAGCCAGCAATAAAACTCAACTGCCTAACCTATAACCAAAGTCTCCTTTTAATTTGTTTTTTAAAAAAAGCGCTTGACAAACTTGCCCCGCATGCCGAAGTTGCCCCGATCTCCCCTAAATCGAAAGTGAAAAACTGTTATTGATCAACAGCTGAAACTAACTTGTAAGAGCTAATACAGGTACAGTACAAAGATTAGTTAATGTTAGTGTCAGTTCGATGACTTTATTTGTATTCATTTTCACGAAGTTAATTCTATAAATATTGCTCTTAAACTATTGACTATAGACGGCCATTTTATTAAGCAAAATCATCCAGTCGTTAAACTAAATGTATTGCTAGAAAAGTAACCAAAGCACTTAGTAACTGGAAATACCCACTAATTAGAAAATTCAGCAACGATACCGTAATTTTCATAAGCATCTGTTTAATTGGAAGGTTTGTTTAGCATCGTCTATTAACAAGCAAGCAAACCTTCTATCAATAGTTTGCTTATCACAGTGCTCGCGAACTGGAAGCACTCATCTGATATAAGAAAATACTAATACGCGTCACAATCTATACAAATTAAAAAATTCGAAATTTTTATTAATCTTCACAATATTTAAATTTATTATTTCTTTTCTCGAAACAATATAAATTTCTATTTAATACCCGATTAAATATATAACCAGTTTTAGTATGTACTTATTAAAAGAAACTACTAAGATATTTAATCAATTTTTTTATGTATTTCAGATGAAGCAAAATACAGTGTGGAAGATTAAGAATTCTTAATTTTCTCTTGATTTTGATGATCAATAAAAATGTAAATTAAAACTGATCAGTATAATGTTTCTGTCGATTAAACCCTTTTATCCTCAACTACAATTTCCAATAATACATCCATAATTACATGTATGGGCAGAGAATTTTCATGACCATGACGAATTTGGCAAAGACATAGCAGTTGGATCAGTGACACACTTAGGACTTAATCTTAGTAATTTGAGTTGAACAGATAAAAACTTTTTAATGCGGATTCAATAAAATTTTCGTCTTATGTGACCGCTAATTCATAAGTCGTATAGAAATAGAAGACACGACACAAAGTAAATATATATAGTCTATGTGATTAATAGGGTTAATAGTGCAATANCAATAATACATCCATAATTACATGTATGGGCAGAGAATTTTCATGACCATGACGAATTTGGCAAGGACATTGCGAGTTGGATCAGTGACATACTTAGGACTTAATCTTAGTAATTTGAGTTGAACTTTTTAATGCGGGTTGAATAAAATTTTCGTCTTTTGTGACCGCTAATTCATAAGTCGTATAGAAATAGAAGACACGACACAAAGTAAATATATATAGTCTATGTGATTAATAGGGTTAATAGTGCAATAGTGTGATTAATAGGGTTAATAGGGTAAATAGACCAAGTGATTAATAGTGCATTATAAATAATGACTGGACAATGACTGAAATGCCCGCTCATCCTGATAAATGTTGATTAATTTATTAAATGGACCAGAAATTATGAATATAAATGTTTTTTGTAAAAATTTGACTGTTCTAAACTTTTGCTACTTTTAACTCGTATAATCGGTTGTTGAAGCGGTTATTCATATCAATGATTGCTCCATAGGCCTTATCGTTACCTTTTTCAAAAAAGAAAACACTATTTTAAGAGGCAAAAGTAAAATTAAAATGCACAAGAGTAACTACTGGTCGCATGAATTTAAAATTTGATACTAAACGCAACTCAGACGTGAGTGCTGATTGCCTAGCGTATTTCGAATGATCACCCCTCAAAGCGTTATTATCACTTTGCCCGACCAGATGATAACATTATTCATTATTCACCGGTCGATCTGATAAATTACGTCATAAAACCTGATTACAGTGCCCGATTTTGTTTGTCATTATTCATGATGACTCGACATTATGAATAATGCCAGTATTAATCACGGTTCAAAACATATAGGCTATATTAAATAAAGAGAGAATTTTAATTAGGAAAGATTTTTGAACATTTTCTAGTGTTATTTTTTCCTTTTTTACTTTGGGGTGGCAGGGTCTTTTGATTCCTCTCTGAGTGTTCCACTGAGTTGAATTAACAATTGGGCAGGAAGATAGTTTTTCTAGTTCAATCATAATCGGAATTATGAATTCATATTTTCCTTTATTTAAAGCTCTAAGAGTAATTCTCTTCGATAAACCACATTTTTATTTTAAAAATATTTGTAAAATTTAATGAGATCGGTTATTTTTCAAGTTAAAAAGATTATATTTTGAAAAGACAGTTTAAAAAAAAACTTTAAGAACTTCTCAAAATAACAACGAGAAATTATTCTTCTCTATCAGTACCGATTTTCGAGGATATAATAAAATGTTGAATAATTGTCAAATTAAACTTGCTCCGTTCCCCTCCAAAACAGGTTATGTAAATTAACAGCAGAGAATTCAAAGAAACAAACAAAGTATAAGTCAGGTGTGGTGTACAAACTTATATGGACAGGTACGTGTTGTTAACCGAAATATTATGTAGGGGAAACTAAGCGCCAGATGAGAAAGCCATTGTCAGAGCACAATAAAATTAAAAAGTAATAATTTACCATAGTTTCATCATTGTCGGAAAAATAATTGCTATATCGATATAAATAACATAAAATGTGTATAGGGAAAAATATCGTAAAAAGAATTAAAGAAACTACACAATTATTATGCAAAAAATGTTGTTACTTTAAATACAGGTATGACTGTAGATACATTCTGAGATAATGTAGTTAGGGGTATAAATTAGTGTTGCAACGAATAGTATATTCTGCCTCAGGCAGAATACCGAATATTCGGCCAGGAGCGTGGCCGAATAGCCAATATTCGGAATACTATTCGAAGAATATTCGGCCAAACTATTCGGCTTGATTAACGCACGTACGAAAATTGGCGCGCAAACCTCATTATGGCAAGGACCCTGCTCTCTATTGGCCCGCTGTCGCTACGCTTCGCCAATCGCGTTAATTCTTGACAGTTGTAGCGGACAGACAAGAGCGTCATGGCAGTATGCGATAAATGATGATATCAAATGTGAATAAGAATGAAATGACCTACACGTGTAAATAACGGAAAAAAACAGAGAAAGATCGCAAAGTGAAGATGTGAAAATAAATATGAAATTGAGTCGATAACATAGTCGAACAAGTCGAAGCAGCTTATTGGCGCGAAATTCGCGGCCGTCAATGCCAACCGTTCGGGCTACCAAGCTGTCTCGAATCTGTGAAATCATAACTGTGACTTAATTTGACGTCCTATCTGTCTTTTTTCTCCGTTATCACCAGGCTACGAGTCATGTAATTATAAAATGGAAAAACTACGACGGAAAAGTGACGAATCGAAAGTATCGTGAGCGCGTATTATGATGTATGCATAGGCATGCATACGTGGACTAGAGAGATGAAGGAAAAAGAAAGGAAAGAGCAAAGACAAGCGCTTAAAAAGGATAGGCATGGTCAGACCCTCATATGTGTGCGACGATTCTCGAATGAATAGGTGTGACGTGTGCTGATCTTTGTAATTATAAATTGTGAATACATGTGACTAATATTATTATTATTTTTATTTTGTGCATGTTATAAGTTATATATAAATATAAACAAACAACATTAACCCGACAACATTAAATCTAAATACCAAAATGATTAATTTACTGTTTGGTATTCGGTATTCGGCCGAATAGCGAAAAATAGGCCGAATAGGCCGAATACCGAAAAGTAACCGAATATTCGTTACATCACTAGTATAAATAAATCTTCACGTGAAATAGTTTATCAAAATCATGATGTTTGTGATTTAAACAATGATATGACTTGTGCTATTATATTTACTGAAGAAGCTCTGTTATACTCATGGCGAAATGTATTTGGAAATAATGTTAAATTAATAAAGCTGGTTTTTTTAGAAGAAAATTGTTGTCGATGTAAATATTTAGTTTTAAAAAAATTCTCCTCGAAAATCGGTAATGATGGAGAAGAATAATTTGTCGTTATTATTTTGAGAATCTTTTTAAACTTTGATTTTTTAAAATATAACATTTTTAACTTACATTTTTATTGATTTTATTTTGAGAAAATGGAACATAATATTTATTACCGAAAACATTTCAATCTTCTAAATGAAAACTATTTTCTACTGTTTCCAATAACTAGAAGGTAAAAATGCAAACTAGCAGCATTATATGAGTTTCACTCACGTAATTAATGTTTATATATATTAAGACGAATCAAAAGTCTCTTGACCCTTTTCATTCCAAAAGTAGTAAAGATGTATTCTTTGTTAAGAATGGGACCAGTCACACGAAGAACTTGGGATCTCCGATTCCACAGCTCTGCTTTTATATTAAAAGCAGAGCTGCAGAGTCGGAGTCTTCAAAAATCCGCCGACTCCGACTTCTTTTCAGTTTCCCAACTTGTTATGTATATACTGGTAAAACGGAAGAAAGATTGGAATCGTGTCAAATTTGAATACCAGAGTTTTTGCAAATCTACACGTTCGGAGACAACCTGAACCAAAAAAAAAATGTCAAATAAAGGGGAAAAATTCGTATATGTGTGTGTTGGCGTCTAATTTGTTTAATTTCTTTATTCTCTGTTCTTAAATATTAATGAAACTGCTGCTTTTTCGTATTTACCATTTAAAAGGTATTAAAACGTTTGGTAAATTTGAACTTCTAATGCACTATGAAAGTGTTAAGAATGATGGACTCGTAAGTAATGGACATGATTAATTATTCTACATAAATTAATCAATAAAAAATATCAAATGAGAAATGTATTTATAAAAGTATGTTTATTGCATTTGCTATTCAGTAGAATGGTTTATGTAATATTGCTATAATTTGGTATTAACAGACGGATCTTCTAATTTTAATCATTTGCATTTTAACATTTGGATTAAACTGTAACAAATTACATTTTTATATATGTAATTGTAAAACTACAGAATAATCATATTGAAAGTTTCATCAAGCAATAAAGATATATGATTATAAAGTAAGTATTACCTGAATTAAATTTGATTAGATATGTAATTAATATAAATCTTACTAAAATCATAAAATAACAAATACATGGTTATGACTTTTATTAAAAATTAACTTTTTACATCCAGCGTTATTAATTCGAAATTTCAAAAGTGCATGTGCTAAGACCCATTTTTAGAACCTTATCATCATGCCTATAAACAACGGTGGAAGTATCTCCTGGTAAATAGAGCATTTTAAAGAATAATTATTAAAATTAAGAAAGTACTATTTAGAAATGAAAATACCCGAGTTGATAAAAGAGCAATTAAATTAAAACCTTCAAAACCAATTCAACCATTAATTCATAAACTGATGAGTGAATCTGAACATTTGAGAAGAAATGTTTATGTTGTGGCGGTTGTAAAATAATGGCATTAACAAACGTGTTTCAACTGTTCACGTAGCACACCGATACTTAAAATTATTTTGCAATTATATAAAAAGAGTCTGTCGCGAATATATCACTTTAATTGGGGGCTAAATGTAGGATTGAAAATATTACTTACATTTAAACCACCATTAGCGGAGATTACAAATAAACAAAATGAATACTTGGATAAAAAAATTGAATATAATCAGTAAAAACATTGAAGTTCTAGCTATAAAGAATCTTTTCAAAATAAACAATGTTTAGTATAATGTAACTCATTGTTTCAACTATAAAATTCTTTAAGTTGAAAATTCCATTTTCGAACTAACTACTGTATTAGAAACCGTTATAATTTAAAATAATAAATTACTCAATATTGTATGAATTGAGATGTTTCTTTATTTTTAAAATGTAGGAATAAAAATATTAGGTACAATGAAACCTCCATTAACGGACGTTTTTACAATTACCAGATTTTCAAATAGGACAATTTTAAGTTGATAATCAACAGTTAACGTCATACATATGAATGTTATTAAACTTTTCTGTTATTTTGATTCTGATGAAACCATGTTGTAGTTTACTTTGCTTTATACAGACACACTACAGTGACTTTTTTCAAAACACTTATTATTATTGCAGATTATTCATCTCTTTATTCAGTTGGGACGCTATTTACAAGTCGCTTTTCTGATATTGTTAGAATTAAGTTTACGGTACCAAGAAACCATAAAATTTTTCAGAGTTATTTATTTACTCAACAACAACAGTAAGATAGTATTAAAGAAGAGACATTTAAAACGGTTACGATAGTATCATTATATGGTGAAAGTTCAAAGGTCATATTACGAAGGCGATTTACCGACCATTTTAAAGCGTTGGTAGTAAGGTTCCTCATATTCCGGTCCTTTGCTTCTCCAGGATCTCGAGGAAAAAGGTGATCTGTTTCACGGAATCTCGATATTTCATAATATAATTTTTCGTAATTAAATTGTGGGGTGTCAGCCATATTGAAGTTTGTATATAGTTCACAGTTCCTTATTTCATTTCTGTTCTACTTTCTTTCTATTGTCTTCGAGAACTTTTCATATCGACCGTTACTACTTGAGGGGGAACTTTTCTCAGAACCAAAAGTGAAACAAATGAGTGAGGTATTAGTGCTGGAAAATAAATACAGTAGAAGAAAGAGTAGCCTGAGGCGAGAAAAAAGGAGAGAGGAGAACACTTTTTGGCTGGACCTTAAAAGGATCGGATGTACAATGTCGTGAGCGAAGCTCGAAAGGAGAGAGGTGGGAAGAAGACGGCAGGTATAGGAGAAAACTGTTGAGGTTAGAGAGGAAGAAGCACGAGGCACTATGGAAAACCGAAAGAATCGGAGAATCAAAAGAACGAATTGATAAATCAGTAAAGAAAAATAAAAGATCACATCTGTGAAAGGGCATTTCCCCGAAGATATCGATAAATCAACGTGGACCCGGGTACTCTCTATCTATCTCTTTATACTTTCTATACTTTTCTAAATCTAATCGTTTCTCTGTTATATTAATTTTAAAGAAACTTCTGGAATGTCATTTTTGGTACAAATTATATAAAAAATTAAATGTGTTTTTTAGTTTATTTATTCGAGCAATTAAAATTTTGATGGCATTTGGAATTACATCTATTAGATTTGCAACAAACAATATTGCAAAATTTCTCGTGTTTCTGTATACGCCTATTCAATAAATATTACATGAGTTATTACTAATTAATTAAAATAGAAAAAGGATTCGTCCACACTCAGTAAATCATACAAATACTTTAGTGTATTTTTACTAATTTAACTTTTATTTATAAATCCAATTAGTTAGAAATTTTACAACTCATTTCCCGTTTATTCCATAAAATCGAATTTTTACCTAAAACGTAAAAATTACAAAACAAAAAAAAAAAAAANGGGTATGCAAATACAGCGTGGTCTGAGTAGAGAAATTATAATTACGCACATCCTGTACTGTACATTTGCAGTATATGACATTTACTAGAATTTTTTTTTGTTATTGTAATAGTAGTTACTGTAGTCTGTTACTCTTGAAAATTGTCTTAGTAAACAATAGCGTAACTAATCTAATCTACTACTACAATAATAAAAGTTAATGCATTTCTTGTTACTATAGTAGTATTTTATTACTGTAATACTATACAAGTCGACCTCCCTATAACACTGTTGATAATTCCGTTTTATAAGAATTCCATGTTGTACGAGTCACTTAGATTTTACAAATACGTGTGCCGGGCTGTGAACGGCTCACGTATTTGTAAAATCTAAGTGACTCGTACAACACGGAATTCAAATAAAACGGAATTACCAACAGTGTTATAGGGGGGTGGAGTGTATTTTCAATTTGATCAATTTTCTGAAACGTTTACAATCGTTCTATAATCGAACCAATATGCAATAACAAATTGGAATTTAAAACGGTTCGAACATTTTTAAAATTGAAATAGATAAAAATATTTATAACAATGTCTGAAATGTTATCAACTTAATACATCTAAGTAGTCAATGACAATTAAACGTAGTTGAAAACGAAAAATCGCATCTAAAATAGTACAGTAGAAGCCGTTCTTCCGGTTAAGCCTTAATGCTCTCCCTCTCCCCTCGCGGGGGAATTTCGAAAAATTCCTTCTTAGTGCGCGTTTTCATGGCATACCCTAACTGTGTACCAAATTTCACCTCTTTAAGTTCAGCGGTTTGCTCTGGGCCATGACGAATCAGTCATTCAGTCAGGATAAGTAATTTTCTAAATTTAGATGAATGCGATCTGGAAATGAATTTGTGTGTGCAATGATCAGAAGTGATCCCCTGTATGAATTCGGAGATGACCTATCAGATGTTGTTTTTGTGCAAACCTTCGTTTGCAACGATCACATGTAAATAATCTTTCTCCGGTATGAATCTTCTGGTGACAATTAAATCCATATCTCGAAGTAAATTCTTTCTTGCAAGTTTCACATTGATATTTCCTGTTCTTTGTTTTACGATCAGATAAACCTGTAAAATATGATAAATACAATTAATAAAAATATCAAACTCTTTAATTTATATTTATATACTGTATTTCTTAAATAAATAAATAAATGTTTTAAGAGAATTGACAAAGTTTTGTGTGCAGATACGAGTGTAATTTGCATCTTCCTCACAAGTTTTCTTAACGAAAATGTAAAGGTTACAACTACACCAATCACATATAGGCCTACTAATTACTTAGACCAGAGTTCACAAATATTTCCGACACGCATAATCACGATCACAAATTAATGTAATTTACATATTTTTTTCTCCAAACAATTTATATGCAATTTTGCAAAATAAAATAGTTCAAAAATAATTTTAAAACATCTTCATTTGATTTTCCTTTTCCCCTCATTAGCACGAAATGTGTTTCCTTCTTCGATATATTTTCGTGTAATATTTAATGGCAGTTTTCAATTTTATTCTTCCATAAAATAAAGTATTGCACACGTCCTTCCACTTTTCTTAAACAATTCGTCAGTTATTACACAGAAATGTCCTCTTTTGGTCGACTGAGAACCTGCAAACAACAAAGTCGTGTATGAAACAAGACACGAGAATAACATCAAACAATTATTTTCTAACTCTAATTAAATATTTCGAAATTGAAAAAAAAAGTAATAATTATGCAAATTCCACTTTCGATATTTTAATGGTAAAATTTCTTCATTCAAAATCTGAAAGAGAAAGAAATCCAAATTAATTTTTCTAAGGAATATGCATTTATACGTTTTAATTAACGTGGCATCAATTACGACATTCAAAATAATTTTACTATTTACGGGGAATGCTCTTTACATTTTCTTTTGATGCTTTTTGGCTAGAAATTTGCTTCGAATAAACATTATCCTAATTAAAAGTCACTATAAATAATTGTAATTACTGTGGATTGTCGTAGACATCCGCTGATAAATTCAACAAACTGACAATATAGAAATTTATGAAATGGATTCTAATTACACAAATATACTTCGACTCGAATGACTTTTGGAGCCGCAGTTGCAACGGAACATTTTCGAAATTCGAATGAATCGCGTGGCACCATCTTCAATTTTTTATTATTGTTTTCGAAAACAAAATGTTTGACAGTAAAACTTCCAATAATATTTTACTCGAATACGGGTTACGACGAATAATCTATATCTATATCTATATATAAAAATGGACATGTATGTCCCTATATTTCACTTTTTCGCCAAAACTACACATCGCACGTGAATGGTGTTTGTATGTAGTGGTAGCCCCAAGTCTCCATTCGTGCATAGGGGTGGTTGCGTCTCGATAGCTATAAGGGTGCGGGAGATATGAGGCTGAAAGTGGTTGAAAGTGGCTTTCTATTTCGAATGTTTTGTTCGAATTTGTTCGAATTAAATTCGAACATAAAATTCGAATATTGGTTCGATTATAGAACGATCGTAAACGTTCCTGAAACGTTGAAAATAGTTCGTTTGACTTGACGTGAACAGAAGACGTTCAGAAATAGAATCGGGACCAGGAAGTGTTAATACAAAGCGGCATGCAAGATTTACAGGCGGTTTTTTGCGCTTTTGCGGGAAATCGAACATATTTTCATGCTCATGTAAAAATTCTCTGGAAACGTCTGGAAACGGGAGACCTAATTCTTGCATTTTGTGAAAACGGGTAAGATTGGCTATAATGTAATTATCTTAATCTTCACTATCGTTACTTTTTGCCCACAAATAAAAACCCAGCGAAGCGGGTCCTTGCAGCTAGATTCTAGATTACTTAGAAAAACAGTCTTTTATATATAAAAAAATTAAACTATATTACATACAAATGTACGAACAAATAAAAACCCAGCGAAGCGGGTCCTTGCAGCTAGTATCGTAATAAAAATTAACTGTAAATAAGCGATCTATTGATAAAATGTAATACGTTAATTCATCTACGTGCCAAAATGGTGTCGTCCGAGTCTCTTGCCTGGGTCTAAAATGTTCGGATCGTATAATTAATGCTTCTAGTTTTTTAAATATTAGTCTATTGTGACTATAATCCATTTATTTAATTAATTAAATTTTGAATTTTCGAATTGAGTGAACGTGTCATCTGTCTTCAATCCCGCAAGAGAATAGTAATTAATTAGGGTTATTCTATAACGTTTCCTTAAATACGAACATTTATAATGTGAATCAAATTATTTCCTGGTCAAATTTTCCCAATAATAAAAAGCATATCGTTGATGAAATTTAATTAATACAAAATGTAATGCGTATTTCCCATTTGAACATCATAAACTCTCAGATTAAAATAAATTTTGCAACATTACAGATTATTTTACAGGCTAACAGTAAGCTTAACAGTTGATCAATTGTTTGCAATTGATGAGATTTAACGTTAATTGCAATACTTTGTGTAAATGTAGAACAAAAATAAATTTCACTATATTTGAGACGGGAAAGGAATTTTAATCGTTTATCTACACTTTACTTAAAATCAATTGCCATTTCTGTTTTAAACACGATACCGATAACATTTCTGATAAACTAAAACCAATTACTTCAAGGAAAATAACTAAACGAGCTAAATGATTAAAATTCTTTCATAAAAAAAAGTAACAATTTACAAACTTTTATTTTATATAATTGCAAAATTATTTAAAATTTTACCTAAAGAATGTGCACCTATTAATCACCGTCTCATTACAGTTTTGATAATTTTTACATTATTACAGCCCGCAGAGCATAAATCAGGGTGTTTTGACACATCTGTCATGGGTTAGTTCGGGTAGGCGATGATGATGAGGAAAGAATCCCATATGGACTTCCACACCAGAAGAAATCCTGACATCAGGAGTTCGATTTTATGTTCGACCTTTCCTCGATTTTCTGTAATATAATTTTCTTTAATTGACTTCTTGACTTCACTTAAATTTTCCAAATTCTCATTATATTTCTAACAGTGTAATTACTAGAAATATAATAAGAATTTAAGATAATATGTCATACTATAACATACTGAATTAAATGACTGTTATATAATGATTAGATATATAATTTATACTAAAATGAAAGTAAAAAGAATAGGCTAATTTTAAAAACTATTTGTTTCCACAATTCATATTTTATTCTATAAAATATAAATTATGTTCTATAGAAAATTAAACGAGTAAAAAAATTAACTCATTAAAAATTAAGTAATAACAATTGCAATATATTTTCTTTAGAAATTATCACAAAAATATAAGAGCGAATAAAAATTTAAAATGATAAAAGAAAAAACTGTTATATTCTCTGGTAATTTCTAATAATTTAATTTAATATTTACAATAAAGAGAAAAATCTGTGTAATTATTAGAAAGTTATGAACCGTTAAGTTATCAGTAAATTATAGTATAGAATAAAAATTAATTGGAAAGGAAGTAAAATCAACAAAACTGTGGCGATTGTATCTATTGGCTCCCATCCAAAATAAATGAACTGGTCGTTGTTTATAAGTCTTGATACGAAGATATCTTTCAGTTCGGTGGAAAAACCAACGGTTGTAACTTCCTTGAGGACAAGAGAGAAGTTTTTGGTGCATTTTTCTTAAGTTTTACGAAATGTCTCCTTTAACGATTTTTTTACTTATTGCAATATGCAAGATTAGTTTTACAACGGGATTTATGGTAAAAGCGTATTTAAGCCCTTCAAATTCTTCGAATTTTCCTCGAATTAAAGCGGAGAATCCTTTTCCCTCGCTTTGGCAATTCACTGTGTGTTCTTGGTTGAAACCTTACTCATTGGATAAAGAAGATTTGTCAATTATATCATACGCCACTTCTAGTTATGACAATGAAATATTCATTTATCTCAAGCGAAATGGTTCAGACTATGAAGTGAAATTCCACATCGGTGTTCCTTACGCACAATTCAAGTGTGCTTTACCTTGGAAACAGGGACAATGGCATCATTTGTGCGCAACTTGGTTCGCTCCCACGAAAACTGTTCATGTTTATCAAAACGGACAAGAATGTGAGTTTATGAAACTCTACTCGTATTTTCTAAACAAAGAGATACCATCGGGTGGCACACTGGTCATCGGTCAAGATCAAGACGCTCTAGATTCTAAGTATAAGGAGGATCAATCGTGGCACGGAGATATAGCCGAGGTTCATATTTGGGATGAACAACTGAGCCTGGAGCAAATTCGAGATACTGGAAGCTGCGAAGGAAGTATGAGAGAAGGAAATCTCTTCGCTTGGATGAAGACTCCAATGACTGTTAAAGATAATGTTGTTTTGTCGGCTACTCATCTTTGTTATAATTAAACGTGTACTCATCATCATCTTTACTAAAAGAAATAATTTCGATGTTGAGATTAATTTTAGTTTTTGAATTTTTAAACAAACTGCAAAAATGATATGCATGCAGTTTTCGTTTATACGCTATCATCAAAAGTCGACTTGTATTTTATGTATACAAGATACAAAGTTGATATGAATAGAGCTTTCTGTCTGTTAATGTTAAGTACTCATTTATTATAATACATATTAACCTTGCTTATATCATTATTAAGCTGTTTTATCTAATACAGTATTAACGTTTTTAAGATATATTTTTATGCGTTCATATATTTTGCATATATATATACATATGCGTTTATTAAATTTAAATAAATAAATAAATAATGTTTAATTGTATTATATTTAGGAATATGTGTTTATCATAAATATTGTAGAATAAATAAAATCTTTTTCAGTAAATAAAATGAATTTGCATGAAATAAAAAGTTTATGTTTTACTTTAAGGTTTATAATTCATTGCGATTGACAAAGTTCCCCTAAAGTTGAGGAGCTTGGGGCAAAAGTCAATATTATTGGAAACTGAAGTCTGATAGTGAAGGACGAAACCGATATATGCGGTACAGACTGCCCATGAAAATTCCTGGGTTGCTAGCCCGGATTATATTTCGGATCCCTTACAGAATTAGGCTAAACCCATGGCTTCGACCATTCCTCTGTTTTTGAGAGACTCTAAGAAGACCTTTTATCACATCCATCATGGATACGGCCAGGCTCGAAATTCCTTAGAATCACAATCCGAAGCCGAACCGCAATCTCCCAGAGCGGTAGGTTGTTGCTTTATACGGCGAAATATGTCGCAATCCATAGTTTGATCTGCTATTGATCTATTTGTTTGTCCTTAGACCTATTAGGAAAAGATGAAAACTAAAACAATAATCCTTTCTGTTTCAATCTTTAAAAAATTATAAATTTTATTTTAATTTTCTAACACAAAACTTGAATTTTCTTAACTCGAATTAACTCTAAGTGCAAGATTTACACGGTTCCCGACACCGATTTATGTTACTTTCGACTTCCCGACTCAAATTTTAATGTTTATTCTATTCGAAGTGTTCCCAGCGATTGAATTTTCATGAAATTTTCAGTCAATAGTTGTATCTACTGCCAAACACCCATTTGCAGACAACGTTCCAGTCCAAACCGAGAGGTCCTTTGTAAGTTGGCCAACACTTAGTGGAAATCAACTAATCCCGCATCAGGATGAACATAAGTGATTTCTATATATAACATCTCTTTAATCCAAAAAACAAGTTTGGTAGACGATCTCACAGCTTTCTGGTTAGAAACAGCTTTATTTTGTAAATTAAACTACAAATGAATTTCGGTTCGTTTAAGTTCCTAACCATCTTCAGTGCTGTACGAAAAAAAAATGACAATATTGTCCATTTTTCTCTTCTTCTTTGATATAGAAAAACAGAAAAATGGACAAATTAACTACTTAGATATAACTATAATACATAACCTAGATAAATTCGCTTTTATAACATATAAAAAACCCTGTAATGATAATAAAACGATTAACTACCATTCATACATTCCGGAAACCATGAAAAAGAATACTTATATTATGGACTTAAATAACGTATATACAAGAATATCTGACAATAAAAACCGAGAAATTAAATTAAAAAAGCTAGAAACAAAGTTTATTCTTAATGACTGTTCTAAAGTGAAACTAAATACATGGCACAAACAATATTACACAAATAGATATAATACGAAATATAAACAGGACAAAAAAATATAAAACCTTTCCGTATATTAAAATCCAAATATTTATATAGATAAAACAAGTCGTTTATTGGAAGTAAGAGTAAAAGAGCATGAAGCAGCTGTTCGGCTTCCATACTATAACTCCCCGCGGTACACCCACGCTAAAATAAAATATGTCAAATTAATAGAAATAATATAAAAATTTTACATTTAGAAAAAGATGCTTATAAAAGAAAATTCAAGGAATATGTAGAAATATGAAAACATACCAAAAAAATTAGTTAATATTTCGGATGGTATGTTAATTGACCCTCAATGGTACAGATTAATAGCAGGCGCTTCAACACGTTAAGCATTCGTTGTACGGTTTGTTCGAATAAATTAGAATTACTGGATAACATCTTTTGTCGGTATGTCTTTATATGTCATTGATGTTCAAGAATTTAACTGTAAAGTAATTTATTTTTAATCATTTGAAATTACAGTATATTATATTATATTAACACTTATACAGTCTTCACATGGGAGAACTGATATCCACCCACTTTAAGTGTATTGAATAATGGAAATATAATATGCAAGTTTTTAAAGAAATTTTTTGATGGAATTATATGTGAGGTATCAGACGAAAGCCGCTTTGAAGGTCCGAAGGTGACCACTCTATCGAGAAATAAAGAGCTCTATTTTCAGACACGCATGGGGAGATTTATGTTCTGATTTTTATTAAAACAATAGAAAAGACTAAAGTGATGGAAACGTGGCTAAAAGAGGAGTCATATTTACTCGCAAAAATTACCTCTCCCGCGCCTTCCGATCGGTTTCGAATTGTATATTGTTACTCTCAACCACTACTGCGACAAGGCCGTGTCTTCTGACCTAGCACCTAAATTACAGTTTATGGCGATCGCCATGCAACAAGGGACAGAATAACGTCACTTTTTCTTGCCGTAGAAATCGATTTTGTGTCGCATTTCTCGTGCCTCAAAGTTGGTTGAATTCTATCTTTTGCAGGAACGCGTTTCTATCAGCAAATAACAGTTCGTTAAGTAGTCACGTGAGAAAATACAATCACCTGGTGTTTTAATGGCGGAAAGTTCGACGCGGTTAACCAAGATGACTAACACCAAAATAAAGTGGAAATAATAATAAATTTAACACAAATTCTACACAAATAATCATATATACTGTAATTTAATTCAAAGAACAAAACAACTGAATCTTACTCGAAATAGTATTATTTATCGAGAGATCTTAATCGAAGAATAAGCGTATTTTGTACAGCAGTTCTTCCTCGATCCAAGAAAGTATCTTTAATCCAAAAACTTCTAGCTAAATAAGGCAAGCCGTACAATACAAAATTTGTAAACACGTGGATAGCGGCAGTGTCCATATCGTTCGCCATCTTGAATACCGAACGCATGCGCCGAAATGTAAGAGGATTGCCGCTTGTGTGATTGCGTTGCCGCGCTGCGAAAATGCGTTTGCGATACCGCTTTTCCTTGCCGCGCCACACGTGTGCATCCTCCTTTATACTTCAGAAATTAGAGTAAAATAGACAACGTAAGATAAATAGACACAAATGACATTGGAGATTTCGACAGCTGGGTATCTACTTTAGTTACTTTTCTATTTCGAGACGGAGCAGACCTTAACTTATAATGCAGAAGGATTGTCTTCTCGCCCGTCTAAATGCGCTTTTACCTAATTTTGGTTAGAGAATGGGATATTTGGGAAGTCAATAACTATCTGTATCATGATCGTCTATAGACGAGATAAACGGGACACATGTCCTCATTTAGAATCGAGTAAAAATTTCCACAAATTATATCGTAAATTACTTTGAAGCCATCTTGTATTGTATAATCTAATTGTGAAAATCGCTAAAATATTAGAAAATATAATAAAAATTTCTTGATGTATTTGTCTCCAAGCTTTGTCCTCCCCTGGAAAATTCTGCCAACGTCCATGATGTGCGCCAGACGAGTTCATAAAAATTCGCCATCCCTCCAATGGAGTGTTTACATAGAATGTAGTGTATAAAGAATTTTTATNTGTTTTATCAACGTGGAATTAAAAAGACTTGATATTTTGTCAAAAAAGGTGGGGAAAGCATAAGAGTATAATTGGTCAGGTAAATTCTAGATCTAAAAGAATAAGATGGCCATGAAGTCCGACTTGAGCAACTTCGAGTAAGAATGGCTTTGTCAAGAGCTGCAGAAACATGATCACAACGTCAATTATCGAAACAATATTAAGGTGTCTATTACTAAAGGAAGACAGGAAGGAAACCTTTTAAAAAACAACAGTGTGTTTACTCAGAATGTAGTATATAAAGAAATTTCATAAAGAAAGATTTTAATATTTTTAAAATATAAATACCATAATCTGTTTATGTGTATGTAAGTGAAATCTCTATAACTCCTACCATTTTTATCTTCTCCAAGTGAAATTCTGTTTTGTTAAAACAAACGGTAGAGACTGCTTTATTTAAAAAAATAAAATATTAGCAAGTAATTTTCAATTTCTTCAAAATTTTTAATCTCTAGTTTCTCATAAAAAGTATTCGTCATGCTTAACAATAGATTTTCTAGTATATTGCAATACAGTAAATTAGGAGGTACACTTTAAATATAATTTATATACAGTAGATCCCCCTATAAAAGCGTTTCCTATAGTTATGATTCCTATAAAAATTGTGGCATTATCCGTAAACAACGGTAAAAATAACTCCTATAATACGTAAAACGTCATCGGGCAGCCGAACTACTTACCCGCCGTCCGTAGCGCCACGCTACGGAGAGATTTCTATCGTCTGGACAGTATTATATAAATTATATATAAATTAGGTACTGTACATATAATTATATATTAATTATATATAAATTAGGTACTGTATATATAATTATATATTAACTTAATTTATTGTAACTTTATTATAATTAAATATATATTTTTCGCCGTCTAGCGTCACGCTACGGCGAGTTAGGCGACCTATCGTCTGTTTAGTACTGTNTGACTTTCAACGAATAATTTCGCTAACCCTGTTAAGGATTGTTTTGCAAATATAAATTTATGTAAATCAGACCAAGTCATCATTTTAGCAAAGTCTTCGAATGCAACCAGCCATTTATCGATAGAACAATATTCACTACCATCGAAAGGTTTGATTACGTTTTTCACGTCACGAAAGTTAATGGAAAGTTTAGTCATATCCGAAACGCGCAGACAATTATTGCTAGGTGGATCATCGGCAACGCTTTGAACTTCTAATACATCTTAGTCTTCGGTATCAACATCTGCCAAGATCAGATTTGATTGTAATGATTTTAAATCAGAAAGAGAAAGAACAAGCCTTTCGACGATTTCGTCTTTAGTACCGTCATACTGAACATTTAATAAGTTGCACAAAACAACTAGGTCATTTAATCGACAGTTCTCATTAATATATTGCACTTTCTTTTTTAGGTTTTCGTCCTCTTTGGATGGAAAATTGAATCCAGCAAAGGTTCTCAATCTTTCTCTGTTATTCCTATCTCCAACCTCTTCGAATACGAGTTGATGCAACAATTTTATCGAACTTGTCGAGTCCGACTTTAGTGTTTCGCCGATAATTCTACGAGCGTCGCCATCTTAAAAGTAGAACTTTAGAACTACTCACGGTTTGCCGAAACGTAAGTCGAAGTCCTTCCGGAATGCCGACGTATTCGGAATTTCCAACGTCGAAATTTTCACAAAAACAGAAATGTCCGTAAATGTCCAGCGAACTCACAAAACCAAAGCACAGTTCGTCGAAAGTTCGTCGAATCTCCTCGAGTTAAGCCTAATCCACATCCAAGCCTATTCCTATCCCGGGCGAGCCCCCACTTCTGTGAGACTTTTCTTTGCCTTTTGAAAAACTTTAATTGAGATAAGAAATATTTGGATAACAGGAACGTTTTAAAGAATACAAATTACATAAAAATATTGCGATTATTATAAAAAACAAATGTAGCACTTCTTTCTCGTCTTACGTCTTTTCGCGCGTTCTTCTTCAACTGTCGTCTCCTCTCGCGAAGTCGCGTCTCGTCCGGCTCTCGTCGTCTCGCCGGCAGATGGCGTTTCGCTCTCCACATATTTGTATTCTTTAAAACGTTCCTGTTATCCAAATCTTTCTTACCTCAATTAAAGTTTTTCAAAAGGCAAAGAAAAGTCTCACAGAAGTGGGGGCTCGCCCGGGATAGGAATAGGCTTGGATGTGGATTAGGCTTAACTCGAGGAGATTCGACGAACTTTCGACGAACTGTGCTTTGGTTTTGTGAGTTCGCTGGACATTTACGGACATTTCTGTTTTTGTGAAAATTTCGACGTTGGAAATTCCGAATACGTCGGCATTCCGGAAGGACTTCGACTTACGTTTCGGCAAACCGTGAGTAGTTCTAAAGTTCTACTTTTAAGATGGCGACGCTCGTAGAATTATCGGCGAAACACTAAAGTCGGACTCGACAAGTTCGATAAAATTGTTGCATCAACTCGTATTCGAAGAGGTTGGAGATAGGAATAACAGAAAAAGATTAAGAACCTTTGGTGGATTCAATTTTCCATCCAAAGAGGACGAAAACCTAAAAAAGAAAGTGCAATATATTAATGAGAACTTTCGATTAAACGACCTAGTTGTTTTGTGCAACTTATTAAATGTTCAGTATGACGGTACTAAAGACGAAATCGTCGAAAGGCTTGTTCTTTCTCTTTCTGATTTAAAATCATTACAATCAAATCTGATCTTGGCAGATGTTGATACCGAAGACGAAGATGTATTAGAAGTTCAAAGTGTTGCCGATGATCCACCTAGCAATAATTGTCTGCGTGTTTCGGATATGACTAAACTTTCCATTAACTTTCATGACGTGAAAAACGTAATCAAACCTTTCGATGGTAGTGAATATTGTTCTATCGATAAATGGCTGGTTGCATTCGAAGACTTTGCTAAAATGATGACTTGGTCTGATTTACATAAATTTATATTTGCAAAACAATCCTTAACAGGGTTAGCGAAATTATTTGTTGAAAGTCAAAGCGGTATTAATTCCTGGGATAAATTGAAATCGGAATTAAAAGCGGAATTTGGCAGTAAATATAACTCAGCGCGATTGCACGGTATGTTGGCTAAACGCCAAATGCTCCCCAATGAATCCGTGCAAGAATATTTCTTTAAAATGCAAGAACTCGCTAGTCATGGAAAAATTGAGCCTGACGGGTTGATCGAATATGTTATTTCTGGTATACGTGACATACCCAGTAACAAAGCGATGTTATACGGAACAGATAATTTGACAGAATTTCGTGAAAAGTTGAGAGTATATGAGAAGATCCGGTCTACATATTCTCGTTCGTTTCAGTCTAAACCGAATCTACCTACAGAGCATCGAAAACCCCAGCCTTATCGAAATAAGCATGACAGTAAAACTGTCAAATGTTTTAATTGTAATGAAATTGGTCACATTTCGAGTAATTGCTCGTATAAATCCGAAGGTATTAGATGTTTTAAGTGCAAAAAATTCGGCCATAAAGCTAACGCTTGTCCTCAAAAAGAAGTAAACAAAATGGAACTAAGTCATTTCTCTAGATGTAACAACAAAATTGAAACGGATGTTGAAATCCTAGGTGCAAAAACAAAAGGACTCATCGACACCGGGTCGGACGTAACGATGATACCAAGGCATTTTTATGATAAAGTAGGGACTCCGAAATTAAACTCAGATGATGCATCTTTAATTGGATTAGATGGGAATAGTATTTCTCCGTTAGGTTTCTTCGAAAGTGAAATAAAGATTGACGAATACTCTCTTCCTGCAAATATTTACGTGGTAGAAGGTGATCTGTGTAATTCTATAATAATAGGAATAGATGTTCTGAATAAACTGAACTTCTCTATAACAAACTACGGATTCAAAGTCATGGGGAAACGAAGTCAAAATACTATTCGTGTTAATTATACTCGAATTTTTGTTCCCGATGGAAAGTCTGCGGCTGAATCAACACTCGTTAGATCAGATGACGCCTCTAGAAAAGAGCAGACGTCCCTTTCGCATTCCACTGAGTGGGGAGAGGGAAACGGTTTTCAAGACTAAATCACTTGGTGAGCGCCCACCCCTTGTGGTTAGTGACACAAACGATTTCGGCAGAAATAAAAAAGAAAAGTTTACTTCCAAATCTGATACATTTCCGTGTAAGCCTTGCAATGAAAGCAAAAAAATGCAATCAAGTGCAGATATGAGCGGATTAAACCGTTTTAACCATGTTTCGTTCACCGACGACAGGGAGTATGATTTAAGGATACCGGATTGAAGATGCAAATTATTTTAACTGACGAAATTCCCATTAGTCATCGCCCACGTAGAATGTCATTCGAAGAACAAAAAATAGTAGAAGACCAAATCCAAGAATGGTTGGACGGTGGCATAATCAAACCTAGCTGTTCAGATTATGCTGCGCCAATAGTTTTATGCAAAAAGAAAAATGGCAAAATTAGACTGTGCGTAGACTTTAGAAAGTTGAATCGGAAAACGGTCAGAGATCACTTCCCCTTGCCTTTGATCGAGGATGTGATAGATCGTTTGGAACAATCAAAAGTGTTCACGTCGCTCGATTTAAAAAATGGATTTTTCCATGTTGACATTGATGAGAAATGTAGAAAGTATACCTCTTTCGTTACACACGAGGGCCAGTATGAATTTCTAAAGGTTCCTTTTGGCTTGTGTAATAGTCCAAGTGTATTCCAACGTTATATTTACCATGTGTTTAGACCATTGTTACAAGATAAAACTGTAGTAATTTATATGGATGATATCCTAATACCGTCATCAAATGCACAGGAAGATTTAGAAAAATTGAAGCGTGTACTAAAAGTAGCTTCAGAATATGGGTTGGAACTTAATTTCGAAAAATGTCAATTCTTAAAGAACGAAGTAGAATTTCTCGGCTATGTCATCAAAGACGGAACAATTAGACCTTCTCGGACTAAAACAACAGCCGTTCAACATTAAGTAATTTGTATTCCTTAAAACGTTCCTGTTATCCAAATCTTTCTTACCTCAATTAAAGTTTTTCAAAAGGCAAAGAAAAGTCTCACATAAATATATATATATACATATTTAACACAATTTGCCGTAAATTAAACAAGATGGGTTCGATAAACTACAAAATATTAATAATAGTAATAATAAAGAATATTTACAAATCACTCTTACTTTTAGAAAGTTTACTTTGACGTGACGTTACGTCGTGTATATTTTCTTTTGTACAATACCAAATAAATGAATAAAAAATTCAAATAATAAATGAGTCGTAATATGTAATAATTCTATCAAGTGTTTCTGTAGTAATGAATAATTATTGTAAATAAATTGGATGGATGCATTACTTTTACACATTAAAATACAGTTGACCCCCCTATAACATTGTTGATAATTCCGTTTTATATGAATTTCATGTTGTACGAGTCACTTAGATTTTACAAATACGTGAGCCGTTCACAGCCCGGCACATGTATTTGTAAAATCTAAGTGACTCGTACAACATGGAATTCATATAAAACGGAATTATCAACAGTGTTATGGGGGGTCAACTGGTAGTAATTACATAAATTACTGCTGTTGAATATTATTGTGTTTTAGTATTTCGTAAGGCAAATAATCATTATCTATTATAAAGGAAATAACACTTAAGAATTGTTATTATTACAAATAAGAGATAAATGTGACATTTGAAATTTGTTATTATTAATCAATTTTATGTTTAATTCTTTAGCATGGCAGGCAGAGGCCTCAATATGGGCCAACTGCCCAATGGTCCGAATTTGGACCATTTATACAAGTCGATGAATATGGAAGGATAGTGGAGATGCCTGGATATGGGTCTCCGGAAGTATTTTATGATTACCGTCCACCCTTTCAACAAGGCGCTTGGTACGTTCCAACTGAAGTACCTGATTATGCGCCGCCTACTCAAACATCCGAGTATGATATGGCGCCAGAAGTTACTCAATATTGGTAAGCGCCCGAGTACTATCAATATGGTTCGTCGATAGAGGAAGAGAGGAGCGAACCTCCATCAAATATTTTAGAAAATCAATCAACAGAAGTGCTCGAAAATGAGCAATGCTTCTCACATCTTTATTATCAGCACATTAACGGTATGTGTCCTTAATTTACAGTATTAATTAGATAGAAATATGAAAATACAATTAACAAATAATATTAACAAATTTACATGAACTGAAATAAGTCACATGGCTGTTTTCTAGGTGGAAACTGTAAGAAAAAGCCAAGATTTTTGGCCGATATTGTATAGCCAATATCTGAATGATAAACACTAGAAATCATAGAAAATATATAGTTTCAAATACATAAACAAAAACTAATAATAAACTAATATTATAAACAAAATGTATGGACACAAGATGCAAGTAGAGAGGAATCAATGTACCATCACCCCAGACTTTGGATGTTCTTATTGATATGTGAACAGCTATTGTCGATACTGCAGTTACGTAATCTACAAATTGAATATTTAAAAGACATTTTACTCAGAATGTTCATTAAATTGTATCAAGAGAGATTAAGCTTTTGAGTATACGTTAATAAACATCCAATTGTTTATTTCGACCGGGTTCTCTTCAGTAATATTACATTTTCAGTTGACGTTATGATCAAAACAATTTACACTTTCCAGGCAATTAATAATGTCAAATCAAATTGCAATATTCATGCTATGTGGCAATAATAGACTTTTACTAAATTTTTAGTTCTGTTTTCGTGGATTTGCAATAGAATAAAGTTTTAAAATATATTTCGACAATAAGGATTTCATCTGTAAACTATTTGTCATTACCTTTGTTTCTCTCTTTCAAATTCTTATATAATTATTGAATTCACGCAAAGAAAATTTGACGAATTGCTGTGTTTATTGTGTGTACTTTTATTCTCTAGTTTCTGATAATCAAATGGACGATGATAATAGAATTAAATGTTCCTCGTCTGATCTAAAAGATATTAATGCGGACGATTTCGATAAAAATTTAAATGTTATTCCCATCGACGAACCTGAAATGGAAACAAGAATCACAGAAATAAAATGTGAAAAAACTACTGATGACTTAGAAGAAAGTAAATTGTCTTCTGTAAGTTACAATTCAATCGAAATAATTAAAAATTAATCTTAGAACTCTTATCATTTAAAAGTGTAAAATTTAAAAACCATGACAATAATACAAATCTAATAGAATGTGTTAATTAAAATGGCTGCAAGTTTTTTATTTATTATAAATGAAAATTTTTCTCATTTATTAAAAAAATATACGAATATTGTAAAATTATTCTATCAGAAATCAGAATTTTTCACTTACAGGATTCCGATGACATAAAAGGATTTTATTTTTGTTCGTCAGAGGATCAAATAACTCCTTTTAAACGCAAGAGAAGACCATTGAAAACAGCATTTGTATATTTAGAAACATATTCTTTGGCCAAAGGAACCATCAAAGAAGAAGAGGAATTGGGCCATGAATCGTCCGAAGATGACGTGAGTTCTACCAACAGCGATACTGACGTCACGTCCAAATATTCATTAGAGAGGTTGCAGCCGACGTTTTCATCGTGAAAATGTGTACATCGGACGTTCAGCGCCGCATTCCTGTAAGCCTAGAAGTTTGACAATGGAGTTTAGAACGTCGACCATGATTCCACTGACGTTCCAAATGCCATTGTCAAACTTCTAGGCTTACAGGAATGCGGCACTGAACGTCCGATGTACACGTTTTTCCGATGGAAACGTCGGCCGCAACCTCTATTTGCATTAAGTGAAGAAGTGAAAGTATTGGATCAAGGTGAGGTCACAAAGATATTACAATGAATTATCCGATTCATAGATTAATTTGTTTAACGATTATTAAGGAATGATTTCATGTTAAACTCATTGAGTTAAAACCTCTTTAAATTAAGAAACTTAACATTAATTATCTATCCGCAGACTTTCNTAAAAGCCTTAACCTAGATTATATCTTTTAATTTATATGAATGTTTAACGGAATAATACACAGCCTATGTACACCCTAAGGTTCCATTCTAAATATTGGTGAAAGAATTTTTGAAATCGGATGAGTAGTTTCGGAGATTACCTGCTGCAAACAAACTTACATACATACATACAAACATTACCTCTTTATAATATTAGTATAGATAAGAGATAAACGTGACATTTGAAATTATTATTATTAATCAATTTTATGTTTAATTTTTTAGCGTTCCAGGCAGAGGCCTCAATATGGGCCACCTGCCCAATACTATCTATATGGCTTGTGGACGGAGGAAGAGAGGAGCGAACCTCCATGAAATATGTTAGAAAATCTCCAATAACAGAAGCGCTCGAAAATGAACATTTGGATGAAATAATTCCTCAGGAAGAAAGAAATTTTTCATTAAAATCTGTTGAATGCTCCTCAGATATCAGTTATCAGCCCACCATCGGTATGTGTCGTTAATTTACAGTATTAATTACATAGAAATATGAAAATACAATTAAATAATATTGACAAATTTACATGAACTGAAATAAGTAACATGGCTGTTTTCTGGGTGGAAACTATAAGGAAACACCGGGGTTTTATCCTTTCTGCCTGATATTGTATAGCCAATATCTGAATTAAAAACCTACAAATCATAGAAAATATATAAATAGTTTCAAATACATAAATAAAAACTAATAATTAATTAATATTATAAACAAAGTGTATGGACACAAGATGCAAGTAGAGAAACATCAATGTACCGTCACTTCAAACTTTGGATGTTCTTATTGATATGTAAACAGCTATTGTCGATACTGCAGTTACATAATCTACAAATTGAATATTTTAAACACATTTTACTCAGAATGTTCATTAAATTGGATCAAGGGAGATTAACTAAGATTTTGAGTTTACGTTAATAAACATCCAGTTCTATATTTCGACCGGGTACTCTTCAGTAATATTACATTTTCAGTCGACTTTATGATCAAAACAATGTAATTACTTTCCATGTAATTAATAATGTCAAATCAAAATGTCAATATTCATGCTTTGTGACAAGACAAGACGTTTACTAAATTTTTAGATTTGTTTTTGTGGATTTGCAATAGAATAAATTTTTAAAATATATTTTTCGACAATAAGAATTTCATCTGTAAACTATTTGTCATTTCCTTTGTTTCTCTCTTTAAAATTCTTATATAATTATTGAATTCACGCGAAGACTATTTTACGAATTGCTGTGTTTATTGTGTGTACTTTTATTCTCTAGTTTCTGAAAATCAAATGGACATTGATGATAAATTTGAATGTTCCACGGATGATATAAAACATATTGGTGCAATCGATTTCGATAATCAGGAAGAAATAGAGTTGTCTTCTTCTGTAAGTTACAATTCAATCAAAATAATTGAAAATAATCTAATAACTCTTATCATTTAAAGGTGTAAAATTGAAAAACCACGACGACAACGTAAATCTAATAAAATGCGTTAGTTAAAATGGCTGCAAGTTGTTTATTTATTATGAATGAAAATGTTTCTCAATTAATGAAAAAAATATACGAGTACTGTAAAATTATTCTATCAGAAATCAGAATTTTTCACTTTTTTACAGGATTCCGATGAAGACATTGAGGGATTTTATGTTTGCTTGTCTGAGGTTGAAATAACACCTTTCAAACGCAAAAGAAGGCAATTAAAAAGTTCATTTGCATATTTTAAATTTCATTCTTTGGCCGGACAAACGATTTACGAACAAGATGAACTGGGCTATGAATCGTCGGAAGATGACGACAATTCTATTAACAGCGCTATTCACATCATGTCTAAATCATCCTTGGAATTGAGTGAATTGGAAGTATTGAATGAAGGTGAGGTAACATAGAAATTACAATGAATTACCCGATTCATAGATTAATATGTTTAACGATTATCAAGGAATGATTTCATGTTAAACTCATTGTGTTAAAATATCTTTAAATGAACAAAGTTAATATTAATTATCCATCCACAGTCTTTCATGAGTGGTAGGTCATTATTTAATAAACTCCACCATACCTTTAAAATGCAGTCTATTTTAAACACTTATCGAACGTTTTCGGTCAAATTAACAGACCTTCTTCAGGATCGAAGTAACAGAATTTAAATTTGCCAAACGGTAATTCCAAAAACGAACGCTCTACGATCTTCTCAGATTCGATTGCGCAAGTCCATTTGTTCTTTATAATTGTAATGCCGTCGCTTTCCATGCTGATGCTATTTTGTTTGATTCTCGAAAATTTATATTTTGCACTTTTTCCCTGTACTTATAAATGTGCCATGCCTCTGCATACTTTAGATGTGGTTTATTTTCAACCTTTTGTATAATATCTGCCTTGCTCCATTCGATTGCAATCTCTGTAGGATCCGCGATCGCATAATTAGCCAAAGCCGTGATTGGTTGTTTAAATCTTATATGAAAATCTTAAAATGAAAAAACACCCGTAGACAGGAGGCTAGTTCCAGGTGTGTACAGAATACCGTTGCATGATAAAAGGCTGAAGAAGGAGCTATATTATATAGGAGCCACAAAGAGATCATTAAAGGAAAGATTGAAGGAGCACGAAAAGAATATAAGATTTAAACAACCAATCACGGCTTTGGCTAATTATGCGATCGCGGATCCTACAGAGATTGCAATCGAATGGAGCAAGGCAGATATTATACAAAAGGTTGAAAATAAACCACATCTAAAGTATGCAGAGGCATGGCACATTTATAAGTACAGGGAAAAAGTGCAAAATATAAATTTTCGAGAATCAAACAAAATAGCATCAGCATGGAAAGCGACGGCATTACAATTATAAAGAACAAATGGACTTGCGCAATCGAATCTGAGAAGATCGTAGAGCGTTCGTTTTTGGAATTACCGTTTGGCAAATTTAAATTCTGTTACTTCGATCCTGAAGAAGGTCTGTTAATTTGACCGAAAACGTTCGATAAGTGTTTAAAATAGACTGCATTTTAAAGGTATGGTGGAGTTTATTAATTGATAATAATACAGTTAGAGATTTAATGATAGGTCATTATATCCAGAAGAATTCAAAAATAGAAAAGTAATTTCAAAATGTTTATTTCTACAAAGATTTCATTTATTTCGTCAAAAATACTTTTAATAATTATTTTTGTTACTGTTTAAGTAACAAGTTTAACGGACATTAAATAAAACTTTACCGAAAACATTATTCGTATTAAATGAAATGATCGCAAGAGACACAATGTTTTTTATGACAGAATTCACTGTTTTGCAGTGTACTTATTTCTGATATCAAATTTAATTGACAATTAATTTATCATCCGTCAAAATATATGTCGAGAAATTAAAATATAATTGTCTAAATTTTACCTTTTCGGCTGTTTTTAATATTTTAATTTTTCAGTGTTTTTGAAATCGTTGTGTTTTGAGACCTCAGCACACAAAAAAGTCACAAAATTAATTCCCGAAATATGTGTGCGTGCCTAATTTGTTTCTTATCTTTGGATATAATAATATAACAATCCAACATTTGCACAATAACTTGTATGATATAGATATAGGAATATATAGGCGATTCAATTTGGGTGGTTAAAGCACGAATAGGTGACAAATAGAAGTAGGCCTCGTGAACAATCGGTCTTTATGAAGTTTTCACATCTTATAACATTTACAATTTTGTATCTATCTGATTTGTATTTTGAAAATTAAGCTTTCTCTGGATTCCTTGTGTATGTGACGTTAACAGATACTTTATAAATGTAAGATAAACGCTTGTCGAACTGAGACATCGAGAACTAAATTCGAATTCTCGTCATATGTAACACGAAACTTAAATATAATTTTTTGTATATAAACTAGGTGGAATTATTATCATCAACATTTAGCGTATTTAATGCAACTCGTAGTCTGCGCTTGTATACTAATTTACAAAAAACGAACAAGTCGTAAAACGTAGGCAGATTTTTGTTCACAATGGGAGAGATCTGAGTTGAAATTATATTATAATACCTTACTGTTTACACAATGAAACTACTTTCTGAATTCCTGTTTACAGGTTATGTCTCATACACATGTATTTCTATATCAACTTATTAGCCGGGTTAAATTTCTTATAATGAATGTGTTTGAATACGTTTACGCATTATGATATAAAATTACAAAAAGTTAAATTGTTAAATGATTACTTTGTAGAAACTAATGAAAAGAAAGAGACGATGCAGGAAACAAAAGAGATAATTCGATCGGAAGGAAAAGAAAATGCAGATGGATTTTTATCCAAAAATGAATTCGTGGCAGAGAATGATGATGATGGAGTAAGAAAATATTTTTTAATATTCCTTACTTTACACTTATAAATTCGTTGTAGTTTTTGCTAAACTTTTACTTTTAGTATTTAAGATTTTCGTATTTTTGCTGTGTCTCCAATGATTCTATACACTTTAAATTAGGGGTGTCCAACCCGCGGCCAAGGCAAGTTTCAATGCGGCCCAATAAACGTGTAAACAAAACCGACAAAATGTTTTAATTTTTTTATTATTTATCTGTTTCAACGGCATAAACTCGAAAAAGAAGTTTCACAAAGCCGTAAATTTTTATTCGTATTTTATTCTTGAGTGGAAACGAAATATTTTCAACTACTTAGAAATGTGTGAATGAGGAAGGATTACTAAATAAAGCTGGAGTTGTGACTTAAAGGATTATAGACCCAAATTTGGGAAAAGGAGGGAAAGATAAGTAAATCAAAAGATGTAGTAGTGAGAAAGGTTAAATAGATCTACTGTTGACCCTTAATTTTCCAACCTTTCTCACTATTTTATCTTTTGTCTTTTCTCTCTTTTCCCTGCACTTGGGTCTATAATTCTTTGATTCACAACTCCAGCTTTATTTTGTATTTTTTCCAACGTTGCAAGATTTGGCTACATTGCGCCAAATGTGGCTACTTTTTTTGTTTGACGTAAAAAATATCATTTGGCGCTTTGGCTACTTTTGGGCAACATATTATTTATATTAGTTGAATAAAAATGCACTTTAAAATGGTATTTCGTTGCTTTTTATTAATTAGAGACTCAAATAAAACAAACATTTGTGTTTTTCAAATAAATTTCTGTCTCCCTTATAATAAGTGAATTTATCTATTTCTAAGTAAAAATTGAAAGTGTCTGTAGAAGTAACTTTTAAAATATCCTTTATCTTGATAAAGTTTTAATACTTATTATTATAATCTAGACATGTTAATCCTTAAATATACTTGTATATTGAACCACAAGTATATATTATATGTACAGTACTTGTGGCCAGTGGCGTAGTGTGTGTGTCAGCCGCCCGGGGCGGAGGAAAGTTTCACCGCCCCCTTATTTATGTATCTCAATTTAAAAGACTAAAATTCGGTTTCGTCACAGAATAAGTAATGAAAAATTCCGTGCTAGTGTTACCACCTTTTTAAAATCGCCGACCCGAACGGCAGGTGAGGTTTGTTCGAACAGAAGTTCTTGACGCATGCGTGTATCATTTTGGAATGCGAAGAATAATTTGCAGTGCATGCCGGTTCTAAATCAGTTACAGTTAGCGAGTAGGGAGACTTGAATAGGAGTAACGCAAGTGACCTAGCTCTATTGGATATTGGAGGTGTATATGATTACAAATGAATCGCACAATCAAAGAAAAAAAACAAAAAATAAAAATAAAAAAAGGTCAATAGGTTGCGCACGATATCCCCTAACGGCGAGTCGATTCGCGGACTATCCGGATGGATGGTAACACTATTGTCGTGCTCATTTCAATCAGTCCGAGTCGTAGGCGGACGAAAATATGAAATAAAATGGTTCAAATTCTTACAAGATATTATTATTATTTATTGTGAAATTTTGCCGCCCCCTAAAAAGTGCCGCCCGGGACGGGCCGCCCCTGCCGCTCCCCTTACGCTACGCTACTGCTGGTGGCCCAAAACTCCTTGACTTCTTCCAATGAGGCCCAGAGAAACAAACAGGTTGAACACCCCTGTGCTAATACTTAATTCCGAGAGATGTCTGCACCCATAGCAATCATTATAATTATTAGGGAAACTATCGCAATCATATTCTTAGTTATTTTAATATCTTGTTGATATAATAAATAAATGTAGCATTATATGTTGAATTACTTTCCAGAAAATCTAACGTATTGTTTTGCATGTCGCATTCACTACACCAAATTTAAAAAATAGAATTATACATTTGCTTGAGTTATAACTTTCAGTACTTACAATGTCTCTGAAATGTTTATGCTTATCTCTTATTAAATAAGTTGTTGCAAAGATGATGATGATAATGAGAATGCGTGCTGAAGTTATTTCTACGAATCAATTCGTCTTATCGATTTCAATTCTTTTCGAATCTTTTTTCAGCTTAAGTACTGTAATTGTTGTCATTTTGACTTGAACTTATCGTCAGCTGTACTTAATTAAACCGACACTAAATGTGGCTTTAAGACGCTTGAAAAAGAAACGTGGCGGAAGTTGCAAAGATATCACAATACAGATTTTATATGAGAAAATAATCAGATACAGTACACTAATATGCTCTTATGTGTAAGTCAAGCATCTAAATACAATTACGAGTAAAACTAATTACTGTATTTACTTTCTATCAATGTCTACACCATACTCAAACGTCACTTTACCAGACCGCCGAGATTCCTGCCTCGTGTTGAAAGTTAGTTTCCGATGCAAATTTGCCGAGTTGGACAGTCCAATTTGAATACAGAGTAAGCAATGGGCGCGGGCAACAGTGCCTAAGTTTCGGTTATCAGTTACACTCATAACTGAATAATGGAGTCATCAGCTATCCTTCGCGTTACGATTCTAACTGTCAGAAGCCCGGGAGCAACTTGCATTACAAATCGAATTTGTAGTGTAAGTTACTTCCTCTTCTATTTTGTCTAACAAATGGCTTCACACATCTACAATGAGATTTATAATTCTCTCTTAATGTAAAAAAATATATCAATCACTCAACACATCTCATTATCTTTGTTATAGATCAGAGCGTAATTGTCCCTACGATGTATAAGCTTTTATCTATAAACTTAATTTAATTTTATTAATAGATTATAGGTTGTCGCTCACGTAAATTACAAAGGGATATTTAAAATTTGGGTTTATTCTTTTTCGGGTGGTGATAAAATGGAAATTTTTTTCATCTTTAAACGAGATGATCATCTCAAAACACGAGAATATTAGGTTTTTACCCACATTAACGTGGCAACGCAACAATAAAACTCTGTGTAGTAACAAATTGTCGGAGTTTTATTGTTGCCAGCGGTCGTTGATTGTTATTGCGAACGGTTGGATTTTTAGTTCGTGCTGTCAGAATTTTCTCGTTTCGAGTGTTTTTCTCAGTTTCGTTTCGTTTACGTCGATTTTATCGGTAAGTATAGACTACGATGTTTCTAATTTTACGTATTTTTGAACATTCTTAAGCCGAATATCACAATTAGTGGCAATGATTTTCCGACCAATCTCTATTTCCATAACAATTGATCGGTCTCGAAACGAATTATATATCGAACATTAAAATTACTATATTTAACAGAGATTTTATTATAATGTTCATTTGTGACTTTTTGTTTATATGTTTAAAATGATTTTTTTCATTAGAAATCTTACAATTTACATAAAATGAAATTAACAAAACCAATGATTTTCATAATAGTCGTTTGTTTCTTTTGCAGAATGGATAATTTCAAGGAATTAAAGAAGTGGCGCACTTCGGCAGATGGTGAGAAGGAAGAAGGCTCGTCGTCGTCTTCCGCTTCGTTTCCAGTGATTCGGGTGCTCCCGAAAGATGTCGAGGAGAGCGGAGAGTGCACCAAACGGGTGGTTGTCATTACTCCCGACGATAGCGCCTCGACTGTGGTCGACTACCTGGGACTGCGGTACCCGGAAGTTGCAGAATGGACGGTGGAGTGTCGAGGGGAGTCCAAAGTGATGGTCGAAACATCCGTCAAGCAGAAGAAACCTTGGTGGAAAAGGCTCTTCTTCTGCTGCGTAAAATGAAAATTTTCTCTTCCGAGGTCACTTTTCACCGGATATGACTCTGCTACCCGAATACGACTTTGTCACCCGGAAATGACGTTTCACCCGGCTACGACTTAATTTACTGGACTTGACATTTCATCCCGGATTGGTTTTTTTTCGCTTTGAATTGACGGACAGACATTTCTGCACTGGTTTTGTTCAACTTCGATTAGATTAAAGTCCATAGAACAACGACAGTCTGATTATCTGCAATGTGACAAGCAAAACATAAAACAAAACATTATGTTACCAGTTTAAAGACTCTGTTAATCGTCTATAAACGGACAAGGCAACTTATACTGTACGGACATTCAAACTGTATTTAAACCGGTGTTCGACTGTCATTGTAGTCAGTATACGTTTGAACCAGAATTAAAATTACTTCAACAATTAAATTTGTTCATCGAATTGTCTGAAGTGTATATAAACTTTCATATTTAATAAATTTTAATGTGAAATTGAATTTTCAACATTGCATATTTATCAAAATAAATATTAAAGTTGCACACTTTTAGATTTATTAAAACGTTTCTACTTTTATCAATATTTATTTTTGACCCTGTCATCGTTTATGTTTACAATAACGTGAATATTTTTAATATAGAAACGGACGATGAAGTAATTAAACAGAGTACGATGAACTGGAGAATATAATCGGCGTTTGTTCGGGAATGCATTTAAGGGAAGACATAACATCTGTTTTTTCTTAAATGCATTAAAGACGATTCTACCGACAGTAATCAAAAAGGGAATTCTTGGTTGCAGGACTTTTCATTAGTTAAATAAGAACCAGATCGAGTGATTGGAGTATTGAATATTTTTTAATTATAAAATCCTATTATAAAAACTTACAATAATACTGTATTTTGTATTGTTTTATTTAGAAAAAACGAAAATTACCCTTTAAGTTAGAAGTCTGATGTAAGTTCCTTTTTTTTTAATTTTCAACTAAATTAAAAACATTTCTTATTGTTGTTGTTGTTGTTGTTGTTGTTGTTGTTGTTGTATGCAGTTTCCAGCAAACTTTGATAGATTTTTTCTATTTGTAGAAAATTTCTACGTAATTCGAAGGTAATTTTTAATGTATTTTTTACACAGTATTATTAATATGATTCTCGAATATGCAGAACGTAATAAATTACTTTAAAAATGAAAAATAATTATATCATTTGATTTCAAGATATTTTGTATATCTTAAAACAATTAATTTTATCCCGGGATTTCCTGGGATCCCGGGAAATCGTTCACTTTTATCCCGGGATTCCGGGACAAACAAAAGACCAGAAAATGAGAAACCCTACTTCTATCTTTTTATTAATTGTTGGAAAAAAGTATAGAATTTTCTTCTCATATGATATAAATTATTAAGCACTATTCTTTACATACAATGTGTAAGAGTTTTTATAGTTAAAATTCCGCTCAATCCTGTAGGTACTAAGATAACCTTTTCTTTTCAGCCCCATTGTATCAATACATTCGTCCATGCTCACAATAGACGGTCTTCGTCACAATAGACGGTCTTCGTTCGCTGAACACTGAGAGGTGGGTCCGCGCCTCGCAAGGACGGGCTGGCCACGTGGGGTTTTCCGGGCTTTCTCCACGTCTGTAACGTCTAAATTTAGACTAGTTTTCCTTAAAAAGACCTCTCGGAAGGCATCGCCCAAGTATTGCGTTGCCACAAACAAATAGAGCACAACACATTTCAGTCAGATAATCAGTAAAAAATCTATAGGGATTTTTCTCGGATCCGATCCCGTCTTGGCCTCTTCGGCTGTCCACCGTCTTAGGAGGATTCGAAGTAGGATCTAAAACCCAAATACCTTTAATAGCTCACAATATTCCTGAGCGACTATGCCCTACATATGAAATAACAACACTTCGTCTTTTAAATGACGTTTTCTGATTACGACTTACTATAGACAAAGCATGAAAAAAGCAACCTTTTCAAGTGTTCTTTTATAAACCAATGTTAACATCAAAAACAAATTAAAATTAGAGGAGAAGGTGGTATTATGGAACCCCAATTACATTTTAGTGAATGATAAACAAGGTATCATAACTACATCAACATTTTTTGTGTGAAAAGTACCGTTAACTGTTAAACTAAATGTTCCTAATTGGATTTTTCGCTAGTCTAATTATAAGTATGCTTTTTGAAGGCTTTTGTACAAAAAGTCCGAAAGTAGGCTTAGAGAAAATCGGGTGGTAATATGGAACCTTACTGTATATTTTCAAAAAAATGCTTTAATGTATCCAAAAGCAAATAGGAAAAGACAAAAAATGTTAAATAATTACCAAATTATTTACTCCAATGTATTTTATCGCAAAAATGCTTTTATAATAGAAAAATATGACCCCCGTCAACAATATATATTCCAGCAGCTCTTTTTCGATATTCTCGAAAAGAATTGGCTTTCTACCTAGTGTTTTTTTCACAAATTGCTCCGGAGGAATGTCTGCTTGCAAATAGAAAGTTCGGAAAAGTCGAGTTCCATATTGCTGTAAAAGCACCAATGGGGTCCATATTTCACGCATCGCCATCTCGAATTAACTTACGTCTGTCGAGACCAAAATTTAAAAAACGTGAACATTACACAGATTAATATATACCCCCAAGTCTCTGGAACGGAATACGTGCACCAGTTAACCTACAACTACGCGATTTATATTTTAAAAATAATTAAATTCACTTAGCATTCAAAACTTGCGAATTTTGAAAAAAAACAATATGCTGATTAAATACGGACAACTGTTTAACTGAAGTAAAACGGGTTTTCCTCTTGCTATGGATGTCTGCCTAGTTCAGTTCAGCCACATTTCGCTACAGTTCCTAATTATAAGTATGCTTTTTGAAGGCTTTTGTACAAAAAGTCCGAAAGTAGGCTTAGAGAAAATCGGGTGGTAATATGGAACCTTACTGTATATTTTCAAAAAAATGCTTTAATGTATCCAAAAGCAAATAGGAAAAGACAAAAAATGTTAAATAATTACCAAATTATTTACTCCAATGTATTTTATCGCAAAAATGCTTTTATAATAGAAAAATATGACCCCCGTCAACAATATATATTCCAGCAGCTCTTTTTCGATATTCTCGAAAAGAATTGGCTTTCTACCTAGTGTTTTTTTCACAAATTGCTCCGGAGGAATGTCTGCTTGCAAATAGAAAGTTCGGAAAAGTCGAGTTCCATATTGCTGTAAAAGCACCAATGGGGTCCATATTTCACGCATCGCCATCTCGAATTAACTTACGTCTGTCGAGACCAAAATTTAAAAAACGTGAACATTACACAGATTAATATATACCCCCAAGTCTCTGGAACGGAATACGTGCACCAGTTAACCTACAACTACGCGATTTATATTTTAAAAATAATTAAATTCACTTAGCATTCAAAACTTGCGAATTTTGAAAAAAAACAATATGCTGATTAAATACGGACAACTGTTTAACTGAAGTAAAACGGGTTTTCCCCTTGCTATGGATGTCTGCCTAGTTCAGTTCAGCCACATTTCGCTACAGTTCGCCTTTATTATCAGTTCGAAATGAAGTGGTTCCATAATATCCGCAGTGTTCCATAATACCACCTTCTCCTCTATATTATTTCAAAAACACGATATTAATTTTAGGTGGAAAAAGACTTTCAACTCAAACTACTCAATAATTTGAGTTTTGACAACAGAAATAAGTGCAAATAAAATCAAATTTAATGAAAGATAATCTTTACTTGTTTCTTCGAATTCGTATGAAATTATGCCAATGTTTCATTTCGTTTAGTCTAAATTTCAAAGATCTATAATGCCATAAGAAAATATTATGTTCGTTCACTTCAATCTGTGATAAAAATATAACGGAAATATATACATGTATAAATGAAAATGCAAAGCAAAAAGTAGTCAAAATGTTTATTGTATAAAAGAAATTATACAAGGATATATGGGGAAAAAGTGAATAATCTAAAGTTATCGTGCATTTTTTACTTCCCATTAAATGTAAATTACTTCAAAGAAACATTATTTGATATTCTATGAGGGAATACAGAATTCCGAAGAGGAACTATCAAGAAAGGAAATTAAATTATTATTCATTCTGAAAAATTTTTAGAATTTATTTTAATTTTTCATCCCTATGAGCACTTAAGAGGACCTTTTCATCAACCCCATTATAAGATCGGTCAAATCTAATCCACGGTGGGACAGAGGACTGGTGAGGAATGAAGCCCGATGAACCTAAACGGCCCACCTCGAAAAAAATTCAAAGTCAGGGCGTTTTTTGACCTGTTCGCATTCGATCTGGACTTCCCCAGCGCGATAGGCTGACATCTTACGCCTGGCCATCTCTATCAGACCAAACGTATATCTATGCAAAGAAGACAATTGCCTAAGGCCAGGATTCCTTAAATCCGTTTGCAAATTCACATGTAAATAATAGTATACAAATTTAAAGTGCACAATGAACTAATCTAACATAGTGACATTGAATTAGACTAAAATTGTTCATAATAAATGTAAAAAATAAAATTATTAATTACAGTAGAACCTCCATTATCCGGATTTTCGATTATCCGGATTGTTCAAAATAAACAAAAATTTTACGAATTTGCTGATTTGCACTCGGCGAATCACGACACTGTTTATGTACGTGATGGAATGCATAACATTTTTTGTTTCAACAACGTCTCACCCAGCACAGTTGGTCTTAAACTCTTAAATATATTTTACGTAGTAATAAAAATGTAACTTGACATACGTATTTATAAATAATTTATATTCAAATTACATCATTTCTATGACCAAGGGCGGCGTAAGGCATGGACGACGTGGGCCACCGCCTATGCCTCGTGGTCCGAAGGTTTACGCATTACTTAAAATCCGTGAACGCGACGAAAAATTTTTACTCGTCATAAAACGATAAATAGTTTGTCAAATTTTTATTCATAAAAATGTAGTTTCGACTGCTTTTTATTTTATAAAATCCGTCTTCTTGCGCCACCAGAGGGCCTTTTAAACAATAGGTAGTCTGTTAGCGTTGGTCAGTAGTAGTCCAAATGCAATACGAACGTTTGTTTCTTGAAAATTTGATTACGATTTGAATACAGTATTTACTTTTAATATTACCGATATGTCATCGAAAAGAAAACGTGTTGTATTATTATTAAAAGACAAATTAAAGTATTTGTTTCGATTATCCGGATTTTCCCTTATCCGGACTACCTTCATTCCCAATTAGTCCGGATAATCGAGGTTCTACTGTATAATTTTCTAAATTGTATAGTATCGAGTATTTAAAGTCAACTATTGGTCTATATTTTTCCTCTTTTTTGTGTGTTTTCAACCGTATATGTAACTTGGGGGTTCTATTATTATTAAAATTAATTATATTATTTTTATCATTTGATATAGAATTAGAAAAA